AACTGCGGTCGACTATGTGGGAGTCCAGCAACATAGCCATTACGCTAACTGCTGGTTCCCTGGGCTTGGTTTTTCTTGACCATGTTCTGAGTAAGTCCTATTCTACTCTCGATCTACATTTTATAAAATGGGTGGTGTGAGGGTTCTCATTTTATCCCACCAAAGGGTTAAGTCTTCTGCTTTCTTAAGCTTCTGAAGTGTCCACTATCTGATCAAGTTTCTGACAGATTTTATACTATCTGGTCCACATTAGTTTTCTCAAATGTCCTCTCTATGACTATTATGTTTGACAAAAATCATACATGCCCATCTTTCCCCAAAATGGTCATCTGTAAACTGTTGAGGAATAGAAGCCAGACTATGACCCAGAGTCTCTAGTTTAGTTTTCCCAATCCTGAGAGTCTTCTCCAATACTGACAATATGACCTTTACAAAATGAAACAGTATCTTACTGATGGACATTTTCATCAGTCACTAAAGGAAAAGAGAAAGAGGTAAGAATTTTTTTTTTTTAAGGCAAGGGAACATTACATAATCAGATAGAGGTTATACTTATGGAAAAAGAGAAGAGAATACAATTGGAGAGGGACCAGCAGTTAGCGTAATGGCTATGTCGCTAGATTCCCATGTAGTCAACAGTGGTTCAAGTCCCGGACCCAGTGGCTTAAACTCACGCCGGGCGCGTGTGCGTGCGTGCCCAAGATCCCAAGAGGAGAAAGGAGGAAAAGGGATTGCAGCGTGGCCATCTCCCCTGGGGGGTGATTTCTTGCTTGCTGTCTCTGTGTCGCTCTCTGTCTGTTTGGCGAGTGCACACGCCCTATAGCAAAAACCTCTCAAAAAAAAAAAAATTGGAGAGAACACAGGCTACAGTACCAGTGCCACTCTATTCCTTAACCTGTATAATAAGTAAATGGGTGTAAATTTTAATAGTCTTTAAACCATATGGTACATATACTTTCATACATTCTTCTCATGTATAATACACTGCATAGTTTAAAGGAGAAAAAGGTATTAAGGACTAGAAACCAGGAAAGAAAGTTTTGCAACATGCTT